TTTGGCCTCTAAGAATCCTTAAAGAGGCTTCTTCCACTCTTAGACATATGCACTCAAGTTTTCCTCTGAAAATTGTTTCTTGACATTTAAATACTTTTTTTTAAGATTTTATTTATTTATTTGAGAGAGAGAATGAGATAGAGCATGAGAGGGGGGAGGGTCAGAGGGAGAAGCAGACTCCCTGCTGAACAGGGAGCCCAATGTGGGACTCGATCCCGGGACTCCAGGATCATGACCTGAGCCGAAGGCAGTCGCTTAACCAACTGAGCCACCCAGGCGCCCTTGACATTTAAATATTTAATCTGCCTGGAATTTATATGCTATACAGACTGAAAGAGGGAACCAGACATTTCTTTTTCAGTAGCTGACCAGTCATCTCACTTTTTTTCTTTCTGAACAGGAATGTCCCTTTATCACACACCAGAACCCCATGTGCATGGGGCCCCCTTGATCCCGATGCCTATGTGTGGGCCCTCGTGGCACTGTCTCATCCATGGGTGGTAAGCAGGTTTCCCTCCTCAATGTGGATGGAATTCTCCCACTCTCTGATTATTCTGGATGAACATTAGAGTCATTCTTTTGTTTCTCCTCCTCAGCTTAGAATCGCTTTGGACAACACTGAGTTTGTGGATCCATTTAGGCTAACCAACATGTGGATCATATATAGACTTCTCCAGCTACAATTTATCCAATTATTTAAGCTCTCCTTTATGTTCTTTTTACAGCTCAGTAGCTTTCTTTACTTAGGTTCTGCAAATTTCTTGTTTATTTCCAAGAATTTTAATGTTTATGTTCCATTATCAATATAACTTTGTATTTTTATTTTTTTAAGATTTATTTATTTTAGAGCGAGAGAATGAGAGCATGAGCAGGAGGGGCAGAGGGAGAGGGAGAGAGGGAATCTCAAGTAGGCTCCATGCCCAGCGTGGAACCCAATGCAGAGCTCAATGCCACAACCCAGAGATCAGACCTGAGCCAAAACCAAGAGTTGGACACTCAACTTACTGTGCCACCCAGGTGCCTCCTATATTTTTAAATTAATGGTTTTCTTATGTAGGAAATCTGCTGGGTTTTGTTATGTAATTTGGTAGCTGGCAAACTTAGTGAGCTCAACTCCTTTTTAAAAATGGTTGAGATGAGGAGTACCTGGGTTAAGGCTAAGCATCTGACTCTTGATTTTGGCTCAGGTCGTGATCTCAGGGTTTTGGGATCGGCACCGTGTCGGGCTCCTTGCTCGACACTTTTTCTCTCTCAAATAAATAAATAAAATCTTCTAAAAGATGTTCGAGATGTACTTTATTACTATTTTAGTTAATCCTTAATATTATCTTTTTAAATCTTAAAAATAGTACATTTAAGGGCGCCTGGGTGGCTCAGTCGTTAAGCGTCTGCCTTCAGATCAGGTCATGATCCCAGGGTCCTGGGATCGAGTCCCACATCGGGCTCCCTGCTC